ATTCCACATTTTATAGAAAATACAAAATTTTTTAATTGCAGTCTGAATTACTTTTTATTTACAACACATATCGGACACCTGAGTGGAAGATCGACCTATCTCAGCAGCCAGTTCGAAAGCGCCCTATCTTCCTGTCAGTCAAGAATGTGCGTCTGGGCACTCACGTCACTGTTCCCAGCTATAATTTTGAAAAAGTAAAGGACCTAGTCGCCAAACATGAAGTATTTTGAAAAATTAACTTTATATGCAAATGCAAAATAATGCATAAATTAAATTTATAAAATTGATACACTCTTTAATATTACTGAAAGTACCTTAGGGAAATATTATTTTACATGCAAACTAAATTTTGCTTCCCTTAATTACAATAATAGCATTTCTGTTAGCTTTAGAGGTTATTCAAATGAAACAACTTTTGCTGCTACTTCATCAAAATAAATTGTGACTTCATTGTGACTTCAGGCAAACAGCATGCACCATCGAACTCCTACGCATGCATACGCATACAATTCCATTCAGTATGTATTAATGTGCATTAGGGTTGTTCAACAAAAAAAGTCTAAAATGTTAAGCCCTCACATCCTAGGATTTTTCTATAAGGAATAAAAAAATACCCATATTTTTTTTGGTAAAATAAAAATTATATTTAGAACATTTATGATTAAATGTGTGTACATGCATACATTAGACCGCATCATAAAAAAAAGTTCGCTTTACAACCCTGAGCCTAAAGTATTTTCCCTTTTACATTTTTCGTCACATCTTACAGTGTGATACATCGCTATTCTTACATCGGGGAGTAATTATTAACCGACTTCAAAAAATGGATGTTATCAATTCGTCGGAATATATATTTGTTTTTGTACATGTGTTACCGCATAACTTTGAACCTGTCAACCGATTCGATAATTCTTTTCTTATCGGAAAGCTGGTACCTCAGGGGTGGTCTCATACTGATTTGGTTTAAATCTGATCATTGGACCATGCAGCAATAACCGGTCGGATTAGATCATGAAGAATTGAAGTCGGTTATGTTTTGTGCTTAAAAATTACTTGTTAATCTTCTAAAGTACATTGATCTTAAGTTTTCTAAGTCTAATGTACACACATGTATATACAGTAAGCCGCTGTAGCCGAGCGGTTAAAGTTGCCTTCTACCACTCCGAAGGATCTGGGTGCGAGCTCCGGTTTTATTAACAGCGGTCGCCCAGCAATCGTAAACGTCCTCCACAAAAAAAGCTTTTCGTAAAATCTATTTGCCGTTCGGAGGCGGCGTAAAAATTTAGGATCCTCCATTTGTGTAATAACATCAAGACGCACACCGCAAATTGGAGAAGNCAGCAATCGTAAACGTCCTCCACAAAAAAAGCTTTTCGTAAAATCTATTTTCCGTTCGGAGGCGGCGTAAAAATTTAGGATCCTCCATTTGTGTAATAACATCAAGACGCACACCGCAAATTGGAGAAAAGCGCGGCCAAAGATTTAGCAAAAGTGTAAACGTCAAAATATTATATCAAGCCCGAACCGCCAAAAGGGCGTAAGTCGATGTTCAGACACGAAACTTTTGCTGCGGAAACTCGAAGCTTGTAGGGGAGAGAGCGACGAGGAAAGGGGACGGGTACCGAGTCGCCCGTACTCGGGAAACACGCTTTGTGCTCTCGTTCGTCTGAGTAATTCAAGTTGGCGATTCACAGCTGACAACAACAATTGCGTACAAAAGAGTTTCTGTGTGTGAATGCAAAGGGCTTCACCAAAAGAGAAATCGCCGATAATAAGAAACTGGAGTTTCCGTGTTTGAACGCAGACTAAGCGACATAATGTTCGATTTTCTGTTTTTGACAGAAATCAGTTAATAATTGCCGTGTTAATAAAAAGAACGCCTACTGAAAAAATAAATTTTTGTCGCTTAAGCCCTTTTGGCGGTTAGAGCCAGTAAAGGTCAGCTGAGTATTCAGAATGAGCCCAGGGCTACAAAATAAGCGGAAAGCTGCTTGATAATCAAGGTTTCAACGGCCCACATATTTACGGTGCACGCGACAATCTGCTGTGACCTTTATTGTCGCTTATCTGCATATTACTGCTTACGTATGTATGTACGTATGTTGAGGACGATATGCTTAGGTTGCTGAGAAGCACGTACAAGGCTACTTGAATATACATATATGTATATTATACTGCATCACCAAAAAAAGTTGCGGTTTTTACGCTGGGATTAAAATATTCACTATATTTTTAGACGTTTACCAAAATATTTCGGAAAAATATTAAGATTTAAGCGACATGAACCGATTTGAAAATACCTCCAAAAATGGAGTGTTTTTATTAATACAAATAGTTTCTTGAAGAAGTTTTTGGAAAAAGTCCCCTCAGATGACCTAGCCTAATCTGTTTTGTCATCTCAGGGGACTTTTTTCAAAAACTTCTTTAAGAAACTATTTTTATTTATAAAAAAAAACTCAATTTGTGGAGATACTTTTATATCGGTCCAGCTCGCTTAAATCTTAATATTTTTCTGAAATATTTTGGTGGACGTCTTAGAATATAATACATTTTATAATTCCAATCGAAAAACAGTACCGATTTTTTTTATTGTATGGGGAGTGATGCAGTCTAATGTATATGCATGTAAAAAATTACTAAAATATGTACCTGCTGTACTCTTGTTAAATTTGAAATGCTATAAAATACCAAATTTCGGTGTTTTCTTTCATTGACATTCATTGACTCTTGTATATATGTATGTATGTATGTATGTACGCAAATATGTTTTTATGCATATTGGATGCGTAAAGTGTCAACAAGTGGTCAATGGATATTTTGCAAAACCGAAAGGACTTTTAGTAGCATTTTCCGTTCGAATAGAGAGCAAAAAATCGCAAGTCACGAATACACATACATATGTACATACACAAGTTAGGCACTTGTTGCTTATGCTTGTTTTCCACTTGGAAAAGGTACGAGCCCCGAGTTGTGTGCAAAAAAAAAACAATTTTCAATGAAATATTTTCCTAGAGTTTGACATATTTTCCCCCAATTTTGTTAGGTGCTATTCCCCAAATGCTGCTGAAATTTCATATTTGACTTACAGCAGTGAATAAGACCTTGATATACATACAGTGGCGGTCAAAAATGAATGAATGGTGTTTCGTTTTTAATATTTACAATGCTTTTCAAGCTAAAATTTGTTTGATACTTTTTCATAAAAATATGGTTCATGCTTTCACAAAAACTATATATAAATCATACTTTCAAATTTTGTGCAGAAATGAGAAGAATTCCACAAACTTTTGTTTAATTTTCGAGTTTTTAACCAGAATTTTTAGAAATTTTTTGGGTATGCAGTTAATAAGCTTATAAAATTCTAATAAAACAAGCGCAGGTCTTGAGTGGCTAAAAAATCGCATTGATTTTTAATAATTTTTTTTTTTTGTTGGCGGCGTTTTGCACTTTTTGCGACATCAACATGAATTTCTTGTGAAAGAATATGCGCAGGACCGTTTGAGAAAAAAATAGAAAAGTCAACGCCAGTTTTACTAAATTTCGCTATTTATATGAAAAAACTGCAAAAGCCGTCAGCAAAAAAAATCATTAAAAATCAATGCGATTTTACAGCCGCTCAAAACTTGCACTTATTTTAGTAGTATTTTATAAACTTGTTAACTGCATACCCAAACAATGGCTGCATTTCTTTATTCATTCTGAACGTTTGGAATAAACTTTTTTGTTTACTTATTCTTTAGAACGTTCCTGATGATATGTTAACGTATATTTCAAAGGCATTCTGTTTATTCCGGCTGTGAAATGGGATTATCCGGAATGTATAAAGAAACGCAGCCTATTTCTAAAAATTCTGGGTAAAAATATCGAAATTTGGAAAAAAATTTTGAAATTTTTCTAAATTCTGTATAAAGTTTGAAAGTACGATTCATACAGTTTTTGTTAAAGCATGAACCATATTTTTATAAAAAAGCTTTAAAAACATTATAGCTTGAAAAACATTGTAAATATTGAAAACTAAACACAATTCATCAATTTTTGACCGCCACTGTATATACTATGTACTATGTGCATATACTACATTTGTACATACATAAGCCTGTACATGAAAGATGCCTGCCCTGCAGAAAAAAATTATCAATTGAAAAAAATAACCAACTTGAAGTTAGCTTTTTTGCGGGATTTCTATAAGATATATACCTTGTAGTTAGCTACGAAAAGCTAACTGGAAGCTAGTTANTACTATGTGCATATACTACATTTGTACATACATAAGCCTGTACATGAAAGTATGCCTGCCCTGCAGAAAAAAATTATCAATTGAAAAAAATAACCAACTTGAAGTTAGCTTTTTTGCGGGATTTCTATAAGATATATAACTTGTAGTTAGCTACGAAAAGCTAACTGGAAGCTAGTTAAAAAGTAATGCAGGAGTGATGCAGACGTAATCGGGAGAGTGTTTCCTTTGAACAAGTTTCTATTTAAATATCCTCATAAAAATTTTACTTTGAATACATTTTCTTTCTGCATTTCACAAATACTTTTTCGAATTGAGGAAAAATAAAAGGAAGATCGAAATTTTATATTATCATTTTGAAGCTATGTCTTACGGAGTTCGAATATCGGACCACCTACAACGGAATATATACCAAAACATATACGAAATGTAATAAGATAAAGTAAATAAATAAAAAAAGTTAAAAAAAAAAACAAAAAAAATATATATGTTTTAATTTATATTTTATGTCCAAAAGTAGCTAGTTTCAAGCCAGTTGACAGTTGCAGTTGCAGAGGTAACCACTCTTGACTATTTCGCGGCCAACGCCATACAAATACAGTTAGCTTTCTTCAAAGAAAATATACAAATAATAGTGACCTTCAGTTCCTGCCTAATCAACTTCAAGTTAACTTATAGTGATATACATTTCCCGCAGGGTGTCTTTTTGTCATTTGCTTGCGGTGAAATATGAAGGTAAATCCTAATTTTTAATAACGCTACTTACCTGCCTTCATCCTCGGTGCTGCTGTCGCGTGACTGTGACGTCTGCCTGCCGCGCCCTAGACGCATTATGTTGCGCACCGTACGCATGGTAAGCTTCTTCTCCTTGGGCTGTGGACTTTCACTGCGGCGCATGGCAGCGGCAAGTGCGCTGGCGCTACTACTGCCACCCGCTGTTGTTGATGTGATGGTGGTGGTGGCATTTGCATTGGGTGTGGTGCTGAGTAGAGTGGTGACACTGCCGCTGCGACCAGTTGTAGGTGATTTGCCAAATTTGTCAAATTTTAATTCGATTCTTTGGCGGCTTGACGATACGCTGGTTGTACTGTGTTGCGCGGCGGTCATAACGCGCCGCAGCAAATGGCGTTTCTTTTGCGTGCCATGCGATTCACTGCCACTGGATGCGGCGCCACCACCCGATTCTGTGGGGAAGCGAGAGGTGTACTGAGATTTGGACGTAGGAGGGGACATTAAAATTTTCTACAAAAAGAATTTCCTTTTTGCATTTGCTTAAGTTTGGGATGTTAATTAACAGTTACATGGCACTTGTTTAAACCTTTTTCAGTTTTAGAAATGCTTTAGGTCTTAGTTTCCGCATTGTGTGTTACAACTCTGTAAGGATTTTTCTAGTGGAAACTGGCAGCACATTTTTGTCAAATAAGCTTCAGAAGACATGCAAACTCGCAGCCGATATTTTTTATATTCTTTCACTCGGAAAACTTTGAGATCCTAAGTACTAAGTAAACTTATATTATTTTGAGCTGTGGTTTTTATTTAATTTTAAAGTATCTGCTCCTCTATTTTCTTGATCGATATTGTCTTCGCTACTTTTTGATTGAAAGCATATATTTAGCCACAAAATATAAAAAGTGTCGAAAATTTTAAATGCTGAGATTGATTGGTTGCAGTGGTTGCAATGGTTTGAACCCTGTAATGGGATTTTGAAATCACCTAAAAGTGTGCAACAAGAAAAAGTTACGGGTGCAATGTTTTATCAGGCCAATCTCTGGCAGTATGAAGGACATGTTACTAGATCTTGCATGTTGTAAGACGCACCTGGTATTCTATAATTCCACCTGAAGACGACTATACCCTCCACACATCGAGTAAAGTCATTGCAATTTGGAAATTTTGTGCCGCACTTTTATTTACTCCAATTCCTTGGTATTTTATAGTCGTTGGACAGCGGGTTATAGCAGGCGGGAGGATAAATGGCATTTTAACCGAACGACCACTTATTTCTGCACTCTAAAGTCAGCTGAATTTTCAATAAAAATATCTATCTGCACTAGATCGATCTATTGTCATTAGAGTGCTCTCTATAAATTCGCTACATAGTCTGTATAAGCCACCACTTTGATTCCCCGTCAATTTATGTAGGTTTACTAGGAAATATTATACATATTTAGCCCACTTACGGCCAATGCGGTCTGGATTTTTTGGAATCAAATTTTCTTAACTATGCTCCTCTTCTTATCAGAGACACGATCCACGACGAAGGAAGAAGCGAACTACGCCATTATTTATATTAAGGACTTTCTCAATGGCTACATAGCAAGCTAAGCTTGGCTATTATTATTATAACTCCAAAATGTATTTCATTTAGGGCGGTGTTCCTTTTGTACCCAATATTCAGATCTAGAAATACTGAAGTTAGCAACGCGGTGACCATATTTTCTCCTCTTTAGAAATAAAGATCACCCTTATCTCCTTCCAGCTTGGCGGTACATGATTCAAGCTGGCGTATTCTTAAAGATTTTGCGCCAGTGTTGGTTGGTTGGTAATAGCGCCATTTTGCTGCCTACCTGTCAAAGTTTTGTGCAATTTAAACAAACCGCTTTTAACTGCTTATAAGTTTGGGCATATCGCTTAGTGTAGCACCAGTTAAATCCGTAACTACTTCATTATTTGTTTCCCAAAAGTTTTATGTCCTAAGGAAGTCAGGAAGACATGAAATACTGGAGCTGCGGCATATATGTATGTATCTTTATATGGAAGTCACATTCTATAAGATTCTATAAGGAAGGCATGCCTAGGTGGCCAGTGGCCGGTGATAGCCGCTACAATTCTAAATACATCTACCCTTGACCTACTTAGCAGCTCTTCTGTTCTTTTCCAGCTACAGTTAGGCAAAAGCTCACGTGCTATCTTGCAAGTCTGAATCTGTTCCTTGCACGTGAACTTCTGTTTATATTTGCATGATAGGTATCCCAGTACCATCGCTATCGATTCATCAAAACAAGCTCCCGCCTTGGCCAATTCATCTGCTCTCTCATTGCCTGATATATTTCTTTGGCCGGGAACCCAGACAAGAAGGTAGACATTGACTGAGACGCCGAGCGTAGCTCCATCTTGCATTATTTGACTAGCTTAGACTTGGTATCAAGAGATGATGTACATAGCGTGAATCGCCGCGTTTACTTTTCTAATAGCACTTTTATCTAGTAACCTACAGGCCACACCCATGCCCAGGACTTCGGCCTGAAATATGCTGGCATGGTTCGCCAGCCGCACAGGCCGATTCGCACTAAGATCCTGGGAATAGACTCCCCCCACCCCCCCTCACAACGCAGTCCATCTTGAATTTTTTTACTCTAAATACAGATAGCTTCCTTATCATCGACTTGGAGCCTTCTCTAGTCCCTCCAGGATGGCAACTGCATCAGTACATGCTTGCTGAAATCCGAACATGTAGTTCGTGGTTTTATTTTATTGCGCCAGTGTATTTGTGCGAATTTGTAGAAGACACGTTATTTAATGTTCCATTTAGGCATCTTTAAATCGAGTAGCTTGTTATAAATAGCGCCTTAAAATATGCGCCAATACATTTCATTAAACTTTTATTTCATTGGTAAATCGAAATCATATAAGAGACACTTGATAAAGTTTTGCTTTCTACACTTGGGCTTTTCAACAAAAGCACTTTCTTTTACTGTTTTTCATTCATCCAAAAACTTATTTGACAAATTATGTTTTTTATTCACAATTCAATTTTCTGGTTTATTTTGAGATCCCACTCATTTATAGTTAGAAAAAGTATAATTTGAAGCACCTAACTTGAATACTAGTTACTTTAAATTCTAATAGCAGGCGTAAGCAAGGAATGTTTTTTTGTAAAAAAATTACGTAGCCAACAACCTACGAATGTTCATTGCGAATTTTCCAGCCACCTCTTTAAAGTTAGTATATTTATCCTTCAACTTTGCATAATTTTTATCACACTACACCCCATTTGGTTTTTGTTGTTTCACAAAAACATTACTTTATAACAATTTTATTTATATATTCATCAATTATGCATCTTCGTGTTACTGAAGCGTACTACTTTCGTTTTTTCCATGCCTACTGCCTGAAAGCATGCTGCATTATTCAGTATTTAAATTTCACTTTACTTCACTTCAGCTGTGTATTTGGCAATCATTCAAATATAGGAAAGTTTTTTAAAAAAGTTTAAATTTCTTGACAGGCAGCTATACATATGTATGTACATATCTGTGGTCAATAATCGATTAAGTCGAAAAATCTGAATTCGAGAAAAAACGTTTTAAACATTTGGACTGTAATGTAATAGGTTCGTCTATAACTTTTTCAAGAGCATAGCTAGCGGGATGGGGATTTTACGTAGGTACACAAGTAACTCAATTCTTTCTTAAGTCGACTTAGGCGGTTATTACTTATGACCACTGATATATTGCTCTTAAGTTGATAGCTCGCTGTAGCCAGTGTGTTATATTTTTTCTAAGCGGAATGGACATTTTAGAAAAAATTATTAAAAAATTGCATATTTTTAGGCTACTTATTTCTTGTGCGTCTTATATCTTGTCTTGTGAGTCTTATATTGAATTTCTTAGATTTACGTGCTCGTAACACTTTTTATTATACTTTTATTTAATCAATGTTCAAGTCCACTTCTTCTTAGCCTTTTCTTTCATTCTTTCATTCCATAAAATTTTATACACTTCAGTTTTATTATATTTTCCTTGTCAAACCCTCCAATTTTCTTGCGCGCTTCCGAAACATTATAATACCACGCCGTAAACTTATTTTTTTTTTTAACTTCTTTTCAAGTTGCTAGCACACTGAATAGTGACATGCAAAGTAATTCCATTTGCAACTTTGCTCTTAACCTCTTCTTCTGGCAGCGCGCCGACGTTTCACTATTAACTTTTTCTGTGTTTCGAAGTTGCGTACAAAAGCCAATGGCATATTTTGCCAACTCCCACTGCGCTTATCACTACATTATTTTTGAAACTTAAAAAAACTTTTAGCACTCAACATTTCGCGCTCCTAATGAACGCTTCACCCCTTGTTGTGCCAATACGGTTTTTGCATACTTTTATTTTGTTTTAAAAAAAAAGTAAAATTTTTTTTTCCAAATCATTTTTGTGTGATTTTCTTTCACTTCCCACTAAGTAAAAATTAAATTTTTGAACATTCACTTTACCTCGATTCAGACTACGCTCCAGATTCGCTATGTTCTGTTCGATGTCGAGAAGCATCTGTTGATCATCGTCCAAACTTTGGCTGCTGCAGCTAATATTGTGCTGCTCCTGTATGGGTCGCACCAGATTGGTCGGCTCAAAATTGCCAGCAGCATCGTCGGGCGATGTGTATCTCGCTTCGAATACAACAAGTGCCTGCAAAAATGGAAGGAGACGCAGAAGTAGAGAAAAACAGAAACCGAGTTTGCTTTACATAAAATTCAGTACATTACGAGTATGTAGTTAACTACAATAAAGAGCGAGCTTATAATGTAACTAAGAGAGCAAGAAGAGTGTGTGAGGGTAAACAAGTGTCCGAGAGTCCTTTANGTATCTCGCTTCGAATACAACAAGTGCCTGCAAAAATGGAAGGAGACGCAAAAGTAGAGAAAAACAGAAACCGAGTTTGCTTTACATCCAATTCAATACATTACGAGTATGTAGTTAACTACAATAAAGAGCGAGCTTATAATGTATGTAACTAAGAGAGCAAGAAGAGTGTGTGAGGGTAAACAAGTGTCCGAGAGTCCTTTGATTTGGCGCGCATTTTCCGAAATGCGTTTGTAGCGCATTGAAGGGCCAATGGCGAGGTGTTGGCGGTTGTTTTGTGTACACCAGCGTCTTTACACCACCACTACCCGGTTGCGTCCTTAAGCCTGGTTGGTGTTCGGGGTTTCACGATTGGCCGGCACCTTGACGCGTGCGAAAAATGCTTCACTCACATGGAAAAACAGCTGTGCCGGCTACCTTGACGTTTAAGTAAATAATCCATTTTGCCACTAACCATTCTCCGTTAGGTGGGCGATTTTCACGCTAGTTGTTTTGTGTTTTTTGTTTTTTTTTTTTTGTTTCGAGTAGCGTATAACCACGTTCGTAAACAGCTCAGTTTAAGGTCATTTGCAACAGGTTGAAATGATCTGCACGGCAATTGACTATAAAACCCATCGCTTTGCGTCCTTCAAATCCAGGCAAATGGCGCGTTTTTGTCGTGAGTCGCATACGGCTACGGGACAAGCTGCAGCATATTCGAGCGTTTAACCAAAAAAATTATATCGCATTGTAACATAAAAGACTCTAAAAAATTTAATCTGAAGTAAAAGTAAAGAATTTTTTTTTATTTTTTATTAGCTCGTTTTAGCTGCTCTTCACTCATTGTCCTTTTCCTTTATTCACGCACTTGGTGCTGGTATCAAGTTAAGCAGAAAATGTAGTCAAGGATATTTTAGTTGTAATGCGTTAGATGTGTGTGTGTTGATGCAGCAGCGCTGCGTACGAGAGAGCAATAATGTTTTTAAGACCTTTGCTGCTACAAGGCTGGGTGCGGTAATTTGACTAGGAGTATAAGCAACAAAGCCTCAATAACTTGAAATATGTATGTATGTAATATATACAATTTACTACGAAGTGTGCTGGTGCGTTAAATTGGCCCACTGCCCACTATGCTTTTAAGTATACGGTTTTATATAAAAAAATGTCAAGCCTTGATAACGACCTTTACTTTTTTTTTATTTAATTTTTTTTCTTTTAATTTTGAAATTTTCGCGGATGTCTTTAGTTTGTACGTAGAATAAAATAAAGAAGTGCTCCGTGATGTTTATATTTTAAGGACCACCCTAAGCATAGGATTTTTCGTATACCTTAAAATTACTGTCATATGGGAAGTGGTTGTTATTTTAATCCGTTTTCAAAAAATTTCAAGCTCTCCTACCCTAAAATAAATAATAAATAAATGGGTTTGGAACCTAATTTTATATTTCAAGTGGCGTTTTTATTTTTTCTTTCTGACGTCAGCATTTAATTTAAAGGAATTTGTAATTTCACAGATATGATTAATTCCAAAAATTATATAAAAAATTCAATGCAGTTTAGAATAATAATATGGGCACCAAGTGAAAGCGGAAATTTCTTAAGAATTAAAAAAAATTTAATTTTTTGGATTCACAAGGATGGATAGGTAAGTTTTTATGATGATAAAGTTAGAAGCACGAAATTCGAGGAGGTTATCGAGTTTATTTAATTCCTTAACATATAATTTCTTCAAAAACTAATATTGCGAAATTTCAAGGATAAAAATTTGAAAGAACATTTTCAATACTTTCTAGTCCTTATGCACCAAAAAATTCAATCTGATTAAATTCCACAGAATTTCCTCTTTAATTTGATATCCATACTTCTTCTCTAAGCATATTTCTCTGAATTTTTTAAATCATTTTTGAATTACTGACGCCAGAGTCAAAAACTGAAAACGGAATTTCACTATACTTAGCCCATGGAATTGCGAATATATTGATGTTTGTGTTTAAAATTTACCATTGCGCGGTGTTATATGTATAATGAGCTGGACATTTATAAAAAAATATCAATTATTAAATAAAAAAAGAAATATAGCCAATACTGGTCAAGAAAGGGAGTCTCTATTATTGTCATCAGCTATTTTAGCTATTTTTTGTTTGTTTATTTAATGCTTATAATTTTTTCTTATAAAAATATAGTTCACTGTAAGGAAATTTTCATAAAATTTTCAAACTTTTTATTCAAAATTTTTTTCCAAAAAATGCTAGCTATTCAGTTTTGTAGCCCGTTAAATGAGCATTAAGCATTAGTTTGATGTAGCCAAGGCTTACCGTTAATTTTTTGCCATTTCTTTACTGACTGTTTTGTGCATCTGTTGAACATAGTACGAGTACTTTTTATGTATGTAAAAGTCAAGAAATATCTAAACACGTTTCTTGAACCAATGAAATGTACCTATTCAAGTGAAGCGTGCTGTATGCTCTATCTACTGTGTTTTAAGAAATTTAATACTCGAGCCCATTAGCTTTTCACGATGTTAAAATTAATTTGGCATTAACCAAGCTCACCTGTTTGTGTTACTCATGTAAATCTATTTTACATTTGTATGTAAAGATGTAAGGGTATATGTGTGTACATATATGTACATACATATATGCACTTGTATGTACATATAAAGTTCAAGCGTACGAGAAGTTACAAACACAATTTTCGTTAATATGCTCCTTGTTAACCGTTAACCTAGCTAACTACTATTACCCCGTGCGGGTTGTGTTGTTTGTAAAAGTGAGCACTGACTTTCTCTTAGATAGCAGGCTCTCTTGAATTGGAGTCAGATTCGGCCAATTTACCCTCAGTAGGAAGTAACCAGCCATCAACAATGTAAATTATTATGTGCAACATGTGCTATCATTAAATTGTTTCCGAGCATTCACATTCAACAAATATGAGTGGATATGTAAGTACATATGTAGATATGTAAGTACATATGTACATATGTATGTATGTACAAATAAATATAAAAACAGAAGCAAGTACATATATACAAGTGGATATGTGCACAGAAATATTTGCTGTCTGAGACAAATTAGGTATGGGTTAGCAAAACCAAGGCAAATGATGGCGAAGCGAAATCAAAACAAAGAGTAAAAATGTCCAAACTAAAGGGATACGTGTTTATTGGTCTGCATAAATTTAAAAACAAAACCTTGTAATGTATACAAACATATATACATATATATGTATGTATGTATGCACATATATTTTTATACCCGAATTCAATTGTGCACTAGGATAAGGAATACAAATGAATACGTTTATGATAATTCTATATTTTAAGTTTATGGGGCTTATTTTCGTTATAAAGAAACCTAGGTATGAATTGTGGAAGTAATATATACTATATTTTATCCTTATCAAGTCTCTTCCAAATCTCATCAGTTGTCATTTAATAAAAAAAATAATCAAATCGGTTTGAAAAAATAAGGCTCTGAACTATTTTTGAACAGTAAATTCCAATTTGGCACCACTGTGCGACGGTTATAAGAATTTAGGTTTCGCCTGAACTTACTAGATTTCTGTATAAGTTATACATACATACATAGGCCGAGGGGCGCACAAATGTAACTGACGCTTTGTGCACTATTTATGTAACTGTCGGAATTCAATATCTGTCATTGACGTGTTAGTAAATGACAAACGAATGGCTATTGAGCATGCAAAACGAAAGAAAAAAAAGCAAATGGCAAAAGGCGCATCCCATCCACTCTACTTGTGTGAGTAAAGACATAAACGTAAAAAAGTTCAAGTTGAACATAGGAATATGTAAATTAGGGTGGTCCAAAAAAAAGTAAAGTCGAAATTTTAATGCTCTCACCCCCTTGGATTCTTCTATATCGAAAAGCTATATCTACACCTGTTTTCAAAAAATCAAATAATATTTAGAGCTCGCTCAAAGCACTCAAAATTGTCCATGTATTTTTTACAGGAAAAACAATTTTTCGTACAAATGGTAAAGATTTCTTGAAAATGAATATTTTTTGATCGGAAAGCCCTACTTCTCTTTAGGAGACTTCCAATAAAAATATTTTTATTTAACCATCTTTTAATACTAACTACTTTTTATAGATCCTGCAAAAACATAAAAATTTTATAAAAGTCGTTTGTATTGAGAAAATGGGTATTATTATTGGAAGTCTCCTGAAGAGAAACAAAGTTTTTCGATCGAAAATAATTCATTTCCAAGAATTCTATACAATTCCTACGAAATTTTTTTTCCAAATATAAAATAGTGGTAAAACTTTGAGCTACTTCGATATAGAATATAGGGTTGAGAGCATTAAAATGCGAACTTCACTTTTTTCACATGCATTTTTGGACCACCATAATGACCATGCATCCCAATGGTAGGCATACTTAAATACTTTGGTAAGTCTAAATACTAAAGTTAAAAAAGATTGAAAAATTTCGGAGCTTTTGAATACTAAACATTTAAATACTTAAGTATTTGACAGTGCTACATGCTAAGTACCAAAGTATTTAGTAAATTTGCAAATACTAAATGTTTCAGAAAGAAAAAAAAAATACATAATCGGTAATTTGATAAATTTTTTTTTATTTTATGGTTTGATAATACTATAATGATTTGCTTCGAGATTTTAGGGATGTTTCGAAACTTAAAAGTTTTCTTAGAATTTATCGGGACTTTTTAGGATACTTTGTTTTTTTTAATTTCCGGCATTGTTCAAGGGCTTTGGGGATTTTTTCGGAAATTTTTCTTATGTTTTATGACTGTTCTTGATTCTTCGCAATATATTTTTGGAGATTATTTTCTTAGAACTGTGGGTATTTTCCGGACTTTTTCTTATTTCTTCTGGACTTTGCAGGGTTATTTGAATTATATTTTTTGTAATTTTACGGGGTATCGGGACTATTTCGGAATTTTCGAGACTTCTCGGGACTACTTTTGTAGTGAAGCCATAAATGCTAAGAAGAGAGCAATTCTAATTACTTTTGGACACGGTGTTTACTTAGCTGAGGGTATTATTTACTACCACATAAACACCCAAATACTTTTCTACTTAAGTAGTACTTAGTATTTAGAAAATACAATTTTCCCCATCACTGATACATACGTGTGCTCTATTTGATTGCTGGATATAAAACAAAAAACGCTGACAGCTTAAGACCTTCTTCATGAAGGAGCTGTGAAAGCGAATGCCTTGGAAAGTTGCGAAGAAACGGAAATACTACCGCACCACTCATACGCCATGTCGAACAATTAAAACTTCGCTTGCTGCCAACACTTGAGTAACAACTGCCAATCAATGGGGCTACGAAATGACGGCTTTCCAATTAGAATATTGCGCTTTGAAGCAGCAAGTTGTATTCACTTCATTACAACCGTCGTGGGCTGTGGTAACAACTAGAAAATTAAGCTTTTCTGCCCACTTTAGTGTTTTACTAGAATTTCTGGGGAACATTTTTTCTGCTTCACTTGGACGGTTAATTAAGTTGAACTAACTGTTAACTGAAAAGTTTTTTTTTTTTCAAGCAGACGCTCTAAGCAGCAACTAGAAGAAATTTCGTGATCTCCTCATAATCTTTACTAACGCTTGCGATTGTATGACCTGCGGCTAACGAAATTTAAAATTGAACGCCAGTATTTTCTGGTTTTCCTTTTATTTTTCTTTTTGCTTTTCGTGCCTGCTTCTTGCTTTAAATCTAGTATTCCTTATAAGTGGTTCACAATTAATGGCCTCTTGCCTTGCTCGCGCATCTTCTCGTTATCATAATTTGCTTGCTGTTCTTTGCCTGCTTTTTTACCTCTGTCGCCACCGGCAATAGACCAATGCCACCCACCAATGCCACCTGCCAATGTTGTTAAGTGATGGCTTTTTGATGTCTGGCAGTGCGATTCATCATTGTGTCCCAGCTATTTGGAATGAGAAATGTTTTTTTTTTTATTTTTATTATAGTTGCTGTATATGTATGTACTATACGTGCATACATACATAGATACAAATACGTCCTTTCGCTTACAGAACATCTGTTTCTTAATCAGAAGCGAAAAGTATGTATATTGATCTGTAATTTTGTTTTGTTTTACTTTTTCGACATGGATTTCGCATAAGCTGTTCACTGATACTTTAGAAAGGTATTTTTTGGAACATTCATTCATCCTTATCTATGTAAAATCCTTTAAAGAGCACTCTCAACCATTCTCGGTCGACAAGGTATGCCGCAAAATATTTTTAAAATTTCAGGTGTATTAAAATCTTTTATGGGAAATACCTTTGTTTTCGAGTGGATAAACTTTAACTTTGGTTGCTTAGGGCCTGTGCCAATTGATAGAAAAGTTCTATGGTGGAAAAACTTTTTACTATGTTGAAAAAATTTTACATTTCTGCTGTGCCAATTCGTAACTTTTTACTGCTGGAAATTTTTGACAGTTGCTTTGATGCACAAGAAGACTATCGAGTTTGCTATTTATAAAATGCAGCAATTATATAGAAAATATTTGCCTTTGATGATTTCAATTATTCTGGAACTGAAATCCATGCATTTATTATGCCTTTTTTTTTTTAACACCTTTTAGCAGTAATATTAGAAATAAAAACACGTCAAAACCGTCTGGTAAGTGTGTTCACAAAAATGTTTAAAACCGTGTACAATTGTTTCCAATAAAAACATATGTCGTTTTAGGATATTATGTACATGCAACAAGACGTTTATTCCAAAATACTAAGCAGCATTATGAACGGCGATAACAAGACTACAAAAATGTATCTTAGGTTGTCCTCTGCTTCGTTTCGAAAAATTGTAACTCACATTCCCAAAAAGCGCCACGGATGGTCAGTGGAGTACGAAGTCATTTGCTTAATAAAGTCTCCAAATTATTTATATTCTTACTCACTTCCAGCCTTCGTTGCTGTTGGCGTTCTTTGAACTGAACCAAACATCCTTGTCAATACGCTTTTCCAGAAGGATTCTGCGTTCTGAACTGCTCCCTGTAAAATAGTATTTTTAATTAAACAAATACATAACGCCTTTTCATATGTAAATCTGAAATTAAATCTTACAAGTTATATAGCTTTTCTTTATTTTTTTTGCCGGCGGGACCATGTTCTTTTATTTCCATTCGCTTTTGTTTTCTTTAATTTATGTGTATACGTGCGTTGTTCGTTTTTCTTCTTGATAATGCTTGCTGTCAAATTTTTCACTAGCCCTGCCGTATCAAACATTTTTATTCACCTCATAGCTGTCAAAAATTTACTATCCAGAGAACTTTTCTATCAATTGGCACAGGCCCTTAAATTCCAAATCAGAAAGCAGTGTTAGCAGCGCTTAAGCAAATAGCTGTAAGCTAACACTGCTGGCACAAATAAGAAATAATCTTATAAGAAAGAGTGTGTGCCGGGCTTAGAACATACTTGATGAGAGTGCGAATTTCAATGGCAGCGAGAGAAATTATGGTGGGGCAAAGTAGTTTTTAAACTTTTTGACAGCTTATTTAATTTATACCTGACACGACACTTAAGTATCTGCATATTTGAAAGAGGTCAGAAGCTGCTAACATTTGAGCGGTCAGTTTTATTTTTTATTTTTGAACCGAATGGGACTTATTGGTCCCTCAGTATTCTTGGTCGTTGTTATTCTTAAGTAAAATATTTTACATTTTACCTAAGTGTGGCAAAGCCTTAACAATTTTAAAGCAGGGCAAGTTATTTAGGAGTTTTATCAATTAGAGGATATATAAGACGTCTTAAGTGTCGTAATGGCGTGAAGTCGTAAAACTTTAAAATGAAATTAGTGTTACCAAGTTATTTTACTTGTGGTCTAGTAATTAAAAATCCGTTAGAAATTGTATTTTTATCCCTTAACATACCTTACTTTTTTAATTGAAATAGGTTGAGGACTTTTTGTACCCGGCTTGATGAACCTCTTTTTTCTATTTTATCAAAATGAAAAACACCCCGATGATGATCTATATATGAAAGTTACTAGATGCAATAAGGACGTGTCGAGGCATTAAACTAATTAAGCGATAACTTTATTCTACAAGTCACTCTGCAGAAAACTTTAATTCCGTAATGCACTAAGCTACATAACTCAATAAGTGACCGGTAGGAAAAGCAAGCGATTTCTTACTAGTTAGGTTCATGTTTATTACAATTAGGACTATCAGCTTACGTTACGTCTGGTCCACCTAATTTTGAAAAAACTACATCAAATGCTTGAAGTTGTTCAACTTAATTTTTTCTCACTAAATACCGTAATAAGAGCTTTTTCTCCAGTTCGATATGAACAAAAAAAAAAACGTTACTGCCAAATGACGAAGGGTAGTGAGAAGAGGCTAATTTCTGGTAAGAAGGCAGTGCAGGGACAGGAGTCTATTTCAAAGAATTTTGTTGCTGAATATTTACAAGCCCCTCTAATGGGTTTTAAATACATATCAAAGGCACGGTAATTCTATAACTTTTGCATGGACACCTAAATTTTGTTCCTGCATGGAATTTATAAATGTGCATACATACATACATATATAATAACTCTTGTAGTGTAAGTTTGTGGCTATAAAAGCAAAGTGTCAAAACCTGCTTCATAAAACATTAAAAGAGCTTAATGTCGAAAAGTAAGCGAAAAGGTAAACCGCACGTAATCACTGCAATCCACCTAAATATAAACCTATGACTAAAAGTACATTCAGTGTGTATGTGCGTGCGTGTGAATCCTTGTACGTGCATTTACTGAATTAAGTTTTCGGTTAAGATCAAACCCAACTAAAAATATCTATGTATGCACCTCCTATTTGTTGTCCCAGGAGATGCCATAAAAGCGTGAACCAACTGAATATTAGAAATGATTATGTTTATGTACCGGAATGTGCTGTGGATGGTAAGCACCAAAGACAAGTCAGTGGCAGTATATTTTCGCAATTTGCCACTACCTACAACTATGTGAGCACATCAGTGAGACTCAAATTAATATTTTATAACGATATTGCTACCGAAATGTTCCAAATGATTTAAAATAGCCCGAATAAACCTAAACAAGCGTCGTAAGGAAAATGATAATAGCAACAAAGACGATACATATAAAACAAATTTGTAACAAACGTAGCTGTCTGCCGAACGGGCATAAGTGTGTGTATGTGTGTACATTAAGGCGTATCACGAAGAAAAATTTAGCGTGTGCCAGTTTTAAATACTTACATATGTCGAGAACAAATTTTGGGTACAATTTTTTTTTCGGCACCCCTTTTCGACGACATAAATATTTTGAAAATCGGATATCAAATAAGAAAGTTATAGCAATAAAATGCGATTTAGTGGGGTGCCTAAAAAAAAAATTTAGCATTTTTTCGACATAAGTGTTTAAATAAAACTGGTACACGATAAACTATTTTTCTTTCATATGTAGCGATATGGCTTAATGTACATGTATATTAGGCTGGGTCGATTTTGTATGGGGGAAAATAAAAGGCATTTGACCGTATTGTAATAGTAATATTATGATGTCTTAGGTCTTAGCCAATTGTTATTGGCCACGAAAGATTAATTTAATACTTATCTTTAGCCCGCGCAATTGAACCAAAGTGTACGAATTTTGAAAATGAAACTTCGGCTGGTAATATCTATGTAATGCGTTAATTGTTATAAGCAGGACGGTATATTAAATTAAGCGTTATTAAATTTAGTACCTCACGTTCATTTATCATTTTTCAATAAGTCTTAAAGTTTTTAAGATATTAAGATAAAACTTACAAAAACTATAATTTTCCCTCATGAATTTTCAATTCTTCATTACTTCAGCAACCAAGTGAAAAATACCAAAAGGTGAGACGATATTTATTTGCAAACGTTTTAATGTTTTCGGATGTTTATGTAATATTAAAATGACCATGGACTTGGTCACGCCGAGTTAGTCAGTTTTCAAGATCCTGGTGAATGAAATCAAACATGTATTGTCAAAG